CCAGCCACACTTCCCAGTCTGACTTCTCCCCATTGTCTAGATGGGGACAGGAGGGTGCAGGGTGGTTAACAAAACAACCTGATGTCACAAAGCTCACGAGCAGTGGCCAGGAGGTACTGACTGCCCCAGGCCCTGCAGGCTTCTATGTTGCCCACCCTGCAGTGTTCCTCAGAGGAGACACCCGCTTCTCCCCCCCAGTAAGATTTTCCGGAGTCTTCCCAGCTCCTCCATCTTCACAGTTGTGTTTCGATACAAGGTGGCTTCAAAAAGCTCATGGAAAAATGTCCACCAGCTTTTTGAAGACCCCCCCCCTCAAAGCCCTCGTGTATTAGCTTCTCACTAGGCAGAGCTGCTGCATTTTGCCACCTTCCTTTTATAGCCCTGGGGAAGAAACTCTGACAAATAAGAGTCAAGTGTGAATGCCAGAAATGTTCCCAGTAGCCATAAAACTAGGTCACATTACGTCCTCCTGGATTCTTTGTGTGTCAAATGTCTGTGCGGTTTGCTCCCCCTCTGCTACTTCCTCTGAGTCTCTTCCCTTCTCCCTTTGAAGTGCATCGGTCGCTATGGAAACCAGGAGCTGGCAGGGCTTCCGTGCGCTGCTGGCTGCGGGCAGCTGAGGGGAGGGTTGGAAGCCGCAGAAAGAAAGAGCTCTCAGAGAGCCCTGGCCACACAGCAAGAGCGTCTCTGAGATCCTGAAGGGCAATTCACCGAGTCCCAACCACCTCTGTGAGGATGCTGTTAGGGTAACAGTCACTTTGCGGAGAATACCGTGGACTCTCAGACATTCTCTGCGGTCATGAGCTCCTGGGCTTCTGACTGCCTTGTTTCGGAGGCACCTGCCTGGACTGCCAGCCCCCATCCTTCCCATCTCCCTGCCTGACCAATGCACCTGCCTCTCTGACCACCCTCGGCTCAGCGACATCCTGCATTCCCTCTGCATTTGACTCTGAACATCGTCCTTCTCCAGTCTGACTCCCTTGCGGTGCTACCCTCAGGGCTGGGTGACCATGAACGTTGAAGCCAGGAGACACTGGGGTCTCTTCACACATCATTGGTTTCCCAACAGACTCATCTCAGCATCTCTTCCCCCAAATCTCCATTCTCCCAAAGCTTCCACCCAGCTCACAACTTTCACCGTATGGGGGCCACACAGCACAGCCCACTGTCTTCCCCTCATTGCCTTCGGCGAGGCTCCATCGTTGGCTCATTGACATGCCTTCTTCCTCTCCCTTCAAGAAGGCCTTTCTCCATCTGCACCCTTCCAAACATCTTTCTCCTGTTTGAGAGAATGATGTACACTCTTTACAGCCCTTCCTCAGGCATCTTTCTCCAACTCCCTTTCTCTGGTGTGGCTCTACTGTCGCTCCTCGTCCGTCAGAGCTGGCCCAAGCCCATGGCCTCTCTCCCTCATTATCCTCTTCCTAACTCTATTCATTCACACCACATGCCACGCCCTTCTCTTGAGACAAGGCTCATACGAAAATAGAATTCATTCACTTTCTGCCTCTCCTTCATCTCCTTCTAGCAGAAGGCGGCCATTCATTCAAATTTCAGACATCAAAGTGGTATAAGTAATAAATCAAGACATTTCTTCTCGACTTTACCGTTCCTTCCCATTCACCCCTCTTAGCTTCTTCTAAATTCATTTCATAATGCCTCCTCTGTTTCCTTCCAGCACCTCCTGGTATGAAAATACAATTACATCTCTTTATTTATACCCCCTTTAGAAGCAAACTATAGCAGTATCACTTGATCTGCACTCGCTCTGTTTACTTGACAATATACCCTGGGGCTCTTCCAACATCTAACATAGACTTTGAAAGATATTTTTTTCTGTAACTTTTTCTTATGAAAAATTCCCAACACACATATACACACAATATTGAAAGAATTATTTATTGAAAGAATAATAAGCACTTATTTACCTACTATTTTTCTTCAAAAGTTGCTAAGGTATTTTATTTGTTTTAACTATTATGATAGTTCACCCTGAATATTTTATTGTACATTGAGATAGTT